TGGGCGGTGGGTTCTAGTGCCAGATGTTCTTCTTCCAATCCAGCTCTCTGCTATGGCCTGGGAAAGCAGTAGAAGATGGCCCAAGTCCTTGGGCCCCTGCACTCGCCTGGGAGGCCTGGAAGAAGCTCCTGGGTCCTGGCTTCGGATCAGCACAGGTCCGGCCGTTGCGGCCAACTGGGGAGTGAACCAGAGGATGGAAGATCTCTCTCTCTCTCCTTCTCTCTACCTCTCCTTCTCTCTGTGTAACTGTGTAACTCTGACTTTAAAATAAATAAATAAATCTTTTTAAAAAATACTCATACATTATTAAAACAAAAATTCTGAATAAATTAGTAATAGAGGGAAAAATAAAAAAGAAAATCCATAAAAACCTACACCTAGCACTGTATTTAATAGTAAAACTCTCAAAACTTTCCCATTAAGAGTCGAAACTGTAGAACAATGTACCCTCTCACTACTTACTTTACAACAGTATACAGGAAGTCCTAACTAACTCTATAAGACAAGTAAAAAATGAGATACCCAAATTTGGAACAAAGAAATAAAACTGCATTTGTTCACAAAGACGATTATCCATCTATAAAATCTGAAGGAACTTAAAAAAAAAATCCTGGAAAAAACATTACAACATGATTTCAGTATACAAGATTAATATATAAAAGTCAATCACTTTCTTATATAGCATCAATAACAAGAAGAATTTGAAATTAAACCCACAAACCTTTAATAACAGCATTCTCCTAAAAGCAAATGATTAGGCATAAATTATGCACAAGATTTACATGAGAAGAACTAAAAAATTCTAATTAAAAAAGAAAGCCCATATATTCCAAGTTCATGAATAGGAAAATTCAATAGAAAGGTACTTCAAAACATACATGGAAAAATAGGATTGCAAGTTTATTTTGGTGCAAGAAAATTTTGAAATCTATAGATAAGAGTGTTGTCAATATGTCAGTTCTTTCCAACTTGAGCTATAGATTCAATACAATTCCAATCAAAATTCCAACAAGTTATTTGTGGATACCAACAAACTAATTCTAAAGTTTATTTATATAGGGGAAAGATCCCAAATAGCCCTTTTACCAACAGAGGAGAATAACCAAGTTAGATGACTGAGTCTACCCAACTTCAAGTTTTAATATAAAACTATAGTAATGGGGCCGGCACTGAGGTGTAACAGGTTAAGCCACTGCCTGCAATGGTAGCATCCCACATGCACTCCACTTCCAATCCAGTTCCCTGCTAGTGCGCCTGGGAAGGCAACAGAGGATGGCCCTGGCGCTTGGGCCCCTACACCCATGTGAGAGGCCCGGAGGAAGCTCCTGGCGCCTGGCTTCAGCCTAGCCCAGCCTTGGCCATTGCAGCCAACTGGGGGAATGAACCAGTGGATGAAATATATCTTTCTATAAATCTTTCAAATAAATAAAATAAATCTTTAAAAAAAACTATAGTTATCAAGACAGCATGGTATTGGCAAAACAATACACAAACAGATCAATGGAACAAAATAGAGTGAAGTAGACCTACATAAATATAGATAAGTGATCTTTAACAAAAAAAACAAATACAATTACAGTGGAGAAGAGTCTTCCACAAAAGACACTAGAACCAATGGATGCATGCACAAGGGGGAAAAATGACTCTACATGCAAACCTTTCACCCTTCACAAAAATCAACCCTAAGTGCATTATACACTTAAATGTTAAATTCAAAATTCTAAAACTCTTAGAAGATAGAATAAGAGAAAATCTAGATGTCTTTGGGTATGGCAATGACAATTTAATAAATAAAACCAAAAACATAACCCATGAAACAAATAATTGATAATCTGGGTATCACTGAAATGAAAAAGTTCTGCCCTGCAAAAGATACTAACTAAATAACAGGCAGACAAGCCGTAGACTGAGAAATGTCTGTAGAAGACCTATCTGTTAAAGGACTATCCTCCAAAATACACAAACAACCCTTAAAACTCGGTAAAAAACAAACAATAAAATTGTTAATTGGGCAAAAGATATGAATAGACACTTCACCATAGAACACACACAGATGGCAAACAAACATGAAAAGATGCTCTACAGCATACGTCATTAGAGAATTGAAAATTAAAAGAACAGAATACTATTACATACCTATTAGAATGAGTTGGATTCCAAACAATGGCAACAACAAATGCTGGCCAGGATGTGGAACAAAAAGAGGGGGCCCGAGCGGCGCTGCGGCTCACTAGGCTAATCTTCTGCCTTGCAGCGCAGGCACACCGGGTTCTAGTCCCGGTCGGGGCACCGGATTCTGTCCCGGTTGCCCCTCTTCCAGGCAGCTCTCTGCTGTGGCCCGGGAAGGCAGTGGAGGATGGCCCAAGTACTTGGGCCCTGCACCCCGTGGGAGACCAGGATAAGTACCTGGATCCCATCATCAGATCAGCGCGGTGCGCCGGCCGCAGCGGCCATTGGAGGGTGAACCAACGGCAAAGGAAGACCTTTCTCTCTGTCTCTCTCTCTCACTGTCCACTCTGCCTGTCAAAAAAAATTTAAAAAAAAAAAAAAAAAAAAAAAAAAAAAGAGGGGCCTGAGGTGTGGCCTAAAGTGTTAAGTCACTGCCTGTGATGCCAGCGACCCATATGGGCCCCAGTTCTTAGCCAAGCTGCTCCACTTCCAATCCAGTTCCCTGCTAATGTGCCTGTGAAAGCAGCAGAAGATGGCCCAAGTGCTTGGGTGCCTGTGCCCATGTGGGAGGCCCACAGGAAGCTCTTGGCTCATTGTCGCTCCCCCTCTTCGTGGAGGAACGACACAGGACCCTGCGCTGTTCTTTTGTCTGCTCGGCCCTCCCCGGGTTTGCTGCTGGTTCTTCCCGGGTTGGCTGCCGTCCCTTCCACCTCCGTGGAAGGGCAGTTCCCCCTGCCACTTTCCCCACTTCCGCGGGGGAGCGGCACACCGCCGGCCGGCTCTCTCGGGGGCTGCTCAGATGTTCCTCAGGTGTTCCCCTTAGATGTTCCTCTTTTTACAAGTCCTTTCTATAGTAAAGTTAGAATAAGTAAACAGCAAACTCCCAAAGCAAGAACGAGTAGAGAGAAATGAGAAAGAACGAAGTAACGAACTTCCCCGCGAACTCTCCAACGCACTCTCCAACCAACCCACACCACCATGCCGTCTCTCTCCTCCTATATAGTCCTCTCCACCAATCCGTGCTCTGCTACCCACACGCTGAGCGCGCTGCTCTCCTCCAATCAGGAGCAGCTCCTGCAGCTTGTCAAGTTGGTGAGAGGCAGCTGGGTAGAAGCTGTTTGCTCCTCTCCCAGCGCCATATTGTGGGAGAGCAGATGTATAGAATAAGTCTTAATTCCAGTAACTTAGTCTAGTCCGAGTTGCTCCCAGTTGCTCCCCACAGCTCATGGCTTCAGACCAGCCCACCCAGCTCTGGCTGTTGCAGCCATCTGGGGATTGAATCAGTAGATAGGGTATATGTGTGTGTGCGTGCATGTGTGCGTGCGTGTGTGTGTGTCCCTCTCTGCCTTTCAAATAAATAAATACATATGTTAAAAAAGGAACTTTTATTTTTTATTTTATTTATATATAGTTTTTTGGAAGACAGCTTCTTAAAAACTAAATCTACTCTTCATATAAGATCTATTAATCACACTCCCTGGTGTTTACCTAAATGAGTTGAAAACTAGGTCCGCACAAAAATGTATACAAGAATGCCTACAGCAGCTTTATCTCTAATTGTCCAAATCTGGAAGCAACCATGATGCCCTTCCATAGGGGTAAATAAACTGGGGCACATCCAGGCAATGAAATATTGTTTTGCATTAAAAAAAAGGAATGAAGTAACAAGCCATAAAAAGACATGGAGAAATCGTAAATGCTTATTACTAAGTGAAGGAAAGCCAGTCTGAAAAGACTGCATACTGTATGATTCTAACTAAATGATGTTCTGGAAAAATTAAAACCATGTATAAAGAAGCAGTTGCCAAGGGCTAGAGGGAAGACAGATAAATTAAGAAAGCACAGAACATTTTTATGACACTGAAACTATTCTGAATGGCATTATAATGGTGAATGCATTCCTATAAACAACTGTCAAAAACTCATACTATGTTTAACACCAAAAGTGAACCCTAATGTAAATTACAGACTTCTATCAATAATGTCAATTCATCACTTCAACCAAGGTACCACTCTGGTACGGGTGTTGATAGTAGGTAGGGGAAATTGAGTGAGGAGAACTAGGGGTACACTGTCATTGTCTTTTCCAAACAATTTGGTCTTGAACCTAAAGTGCTCTAAAAAGGAAGTGAGGAAGGGAAGAAGAGGGGAGAAAAGGAATACATAGCAGGGATTAAACACGGCCTAAAAATGTAAAATATTTACTATCTGAATCTTCGTAAGTCTCCTGTATCATTCTCTAGGATAACCAACCATTAAAGAAAGCTAAAAAGATGGGGGGAAAGGAGGGCGTTTTGCACAGCAGTCATGTCACCACCAAGGACACCCACATCCCTTATCTGAACACCTGACTTCAGAGTTCTGGCTCTTCCGCTTCCGATGCAGCTGCGAGCTAATACACTAGGAGGTAGCAAATGATGGCTCGAGGATTTGGCCCTACCACCCATGTCTGAGACCTGGACTGAGTTCCCACGTTCAGTCTGCCCAGTCCCAGTTGTTGCAGGAAGGTAAGAAGTCAAACAGTAGAGGGAAAATCTCTGTCTCTGTCTGCCTTTCAAATAAAATGAAAATTAAATTTTAAAAATTATGTTTCATAAAAAAGGAATTTTTTAAAAGATGGGAAAAATATTTTTAAACTAAAAAAAAAGGTGGGAAAAATTTATATACCTCAAATGTTCTGTAACAGGGTTTCTCAAAGGACATTTGGCAGGGGTAGGGAATTTTCTTTCTGCCAAAGGCCATCTGCATATTTATAACATCATTTGCAGGTCATACACAATTATCAACTTAAAAATTAGACTGCCATATATTTATTGCATTTCAAGTCCCACCTGTAGTTGCCTTGTCAGAGATAGACCAAATGACTTTGCAGGTCTTTTCCATCCCATGCGCAGGTATATGCTCCATCCATTTTACAGCACATAACTCTTTGTTGTTGGGCTATCTTAATCAATATTCCTGGTCTTCACACATTAGGTGCCTAGGACACCATTCCACCCAGTTGAGAAAGCCACATGTCTCCACATATTGCCCTGTGCACCCTATCACATCCCTTAGTTGAGAGCCACTGGTCTAAAGAAGAAACATAAGAAGGAACCTAAAATAAGGAGGAAAATAGAAACAGTAACACAGTAGATTTAAACAAATATACCACCAATGCATTAAGGTATATGGAATAAATGCTTCAGATAAAAGACAAATTTAAAAGAAAAATCAGCACCCACCTATATGCTCTTTTTACAAGACACAAACAGGGGCCAGCACTGTGGTGCAGCAGGTTAACGCCCCGGCCCAAAGCGCTGGCATCCCATATGGTCACCGGTTCTAGTACCAGCTGCTCCACTTCCGATCTAGCTCTCTGCTATGGCCTAGGAAAGCAGTGGAGGATGGCCCAACTCCTTGGGCCCCTGCACCTGAGTGGGAGACCTGGAGAACGCTCTTGGCTCCTGGCTTTGGATCGGCGCAGCTCTGGCCATTGCGGCCAATTGGGAAGTGAACCATCGGATGGAAGACCTTTCTCTCTTGCTCTCTCTCTCTCTGCCTCTCCTCTCTCTGTGTAACTCTGACTTTCAAATAAATAAATTGTTAAAAAAAAAAAAAAAGACAAACAAACATAAGGGCACATAAAGGTTCAAAGCAAAAGCAAAGATGTTTCAAACATTAATTAAAAGATAGCTAGGGTAGGCATTTGGCCTAGTGAGCACAGTGGGAACTGATTAAAGCCGTTGGATGGGACACTGGGATCCCACATGGGAGTACCTGGGCTTAAGTCCCTGCCCCACTCCCAACTCCAACTTCATGCTAATGCACATCTTGGAGGCAGCAGATGATGGCTCAGATGATGCCACTCACATGGCAGGGACACGGAGTGAGCTCACAGCTCCATGCTTCAACCTGGCCTCATCCAGGCCATCACGGGCATTTGGGGAGTGAAGCAGCAGATGGGAGAGGTCTCTCTTGGAACACAATAAATACATACATACACAGATAGATAGTAGGGGGCCTAGCAATAGGTGTTTGGCCTAGCAATTAAGACACCACTTAAAATGCCTGCATCCCAAACTGGAGTGCCTCTCAGAAGAGATTTATAGAGATATAGATAGAGATAGAGACAGGGATATACAGATGGTAGGAGGTGGGCAGTGGACCTAGCAGTGCAGACACGGACTAAAAGGCCTGAATCCCACATTGCAGCGCCTGGGTTTGATGCCTGGCTCCAGTTCCTGATTTCAGCTTCCCACTAATGCAGACCCAGGGAGGCAGCCATGAAGGCTCATGTAATTGTGTTCCTGTCACTCACATGGGAGACCCAGCTGAATTCCTGGTTCCCAGCTCTCTCTGCCTCTCTGTGGTTCTGCCTTTCAAATAAATAAATCAATCTTAAAAAGAAAATCTCAGCCCAGTGTTGCGGCCTAGCGGGTTAAGCCACTGCCTGTGATGCTGGCATCCCATATGACCTCCAGTATGTCAGCAGCTCCACTTCCAATCCAGCTCCCTGCTAATGGACTGGGAAGAGCAGAAGATGGCCCAAGTGCTTGGATCCCTGCCACCCACATGGGAGACCAGGATGAAGCTCCCAGCCCCTGGCTTTGGCCCAGCCCAGTGCTGGCCCCAGCCATCTGGGGATTGAACCAGCAGATAGAAGACTTCCCTCTCCGTAACTTTTTTTTTTTTAAAGACTTGTTTATTTATTTGAAAGGCAGAACTACAAAGAGAGGGAGGGAGATACAGAGAGAGAGATCTTCCATCTGCTGGTTCTCTCCCCAAATGGCCTCAACAGGGAGCAGACCTGGTTCAAAGCCAGGAGCCAGGAGCTTCTTCCGGGTCCCCCACATGGGTGCAGGTGCCCAAGCACTTGGACCATCTTCTGCTGTTTTCCCAGGAACACTTTTATGGAGCTGGATTGGAAGTGGAGCAGCCATATGGGATGCCAGCATTGCAGGCTACAGCTTTACCCAATACAGCGCAAAGATGGCCCCATGACTCTTAACTTTCAAAACTAATAAATAAATCTTTTTTAAAAAAACTCATTTTTTTAGAGATCAAAATTACATACAACATCATCTCTGATCACAGTGCAATTAAATTAAACTAAAACTCAACACTAAAGGATAACCAGAAGAAGGACTGGTGCTGTGGCACAGCAGGTTAAGTCACTGCTTACAAATACTGCATTTCATATTGAAACATAGGTTCAAGTCTCAGCTTCTCCAGTTCCAATTCAGCTCCCTGCTAACGTGCCTGGGAAAGCAGCAGAAGACTGCCCAAATTCTTGGGTCTCTACCACTCACACAGGAGGCCTGAACAGAGTCCCACGTTCTTGGCATCAGCCTATACCCATCATGGCTATCGTGGCCATTTAAGGAGTGTACCAATGGATGGAAGATCTATTTCCTTTTGTCTCTTCCTCTGTCATTTTGCCTTTCAAATTAATAAATATATATCTTTAAGAGAAAAAGGACAACTAGAAAAACCACAAAACAAAAAATATATTTCTAAATAACTTACAAATATGATAAAGAAAATTTTAACTTATGAAAAGGTCACAATATAAATGAGGAAATATCTACATCTAAAGGAAAAGTTATAGTACAAATTAAAACTTATGGAATAAAGACTTTGCATCCAGAAAAACGGAAGAGTCATACAATTGCCTGTTACCAACCACTAATATGAGGACATCTGAAAAAGTTCATGGAAAACTGGAAATATAAGTTTGGATTGTTGCAAAAAATTTTAGAATACATGAATAATTTTTTTCTTTTTTTGAAGAGCCCTCCATGCATGGATTAAATACCTTCTTTGCATCAAAATAAGCTTATCTTCTAATTCCATTTACTACGAACTTTGTGAAGTACCCTGACACAAGTCAAAGTTCTGAGTATTAAATATATGATAAACATCCGAAGACTAAATAATGCAGACCAGCAGGCCTAGGACCTTGGGATATAACAACAGAGTGGTGAGTGTCCTAGGCTTTTCTTTTTCACTTATCTCAGACTTGAAGCCAAAGAAGCTAACAATCAGGAAACACCAAATGATTTTGCAAAAGATCACTCTCTAGCCAAAGGAACAAGAAAGGGCAAGACTACCAAGATAGAAAATTTTTAGAGAACTACAATCCAGTCCATCAAAATACTATAGAAAAGGGGCCGGTGCCATGGCTCACTTGGTTAATCCTCCGCCTGCGGCGCAGGCATCCCATATGGGCCCGGGTTCTAGTACAGGTTGCTCCTCTTCCAGTCCAGCTCTCTGCTATGGCCCGGGAATGCAGTGGAGGATGGCCCAAGTGCTTGGGCCCTGCACCCACATGGGAGACCAGGAAGAAGTACCTGGCTCCAGGCTTCAGATCCGTGTAGCTCCGGCCGTAGTGGCCATTTGGGGAGTGAACCAGCGGAAGGAAGACCTTTCTCTCTGTCTCTCTCTCTAACTGTATCTATCAAATAAAAAAAAAAAATACTATAGAAAAGAAAAGAAAAAAGAATGTAGCCCCAGCCCTGTCCACACAAGTAAAGACCAGTAATCTGTACAAGAAGATGGAGTACAAAGTGGGACTTTATATTCACTGAACAACAATGAAGCCCCACATTCCTGCAATATCACTGGAGATCACGTAGGAAACCTGAAAGCTGACCTCCACCAACAGTAAGGAAGAGCACCTACCCCATTCCACGCAAGTGCAGCCTCAGAAGGCCTAGTGGAAAGTTAGCACGGGCCCTGTGACCCCAGGAGTAACAAGGCGACCCTCTCCAGATTATCACAGGAGATCACATGGAGAGCAAGAACTCCAAGTTACCCAGCGGTAATGAATACTGCACCCACCTCGGGTATCAAACAGGCCAACTGGGGAACCTAGACTTCTACCCACACCTGGCACTAACAAGACAGCACTGCCTCTTAACTGGGTCAGAGCAGTTTAAGAAAAAGCTGGGTAAACAGAAGAGGTAAACAAGATCAACAGTCTCATAAAATACCCAAAATGTCCAGGTTTCAATAGAAAATCATGAGTCAAAACAAGAATGAAAAAGATTTCAAACTCAATAAGACAATCAAAACATAACATCACCAAGCTCAAAGAAATGTTCCAGTTATCTCAGAGATTTCAAAAATAGTCATGATGAAAATACTCTACAAGTTACTACAAAAAGCTTGAATAGGAGTGAAAAGTCACAGCAATGAAATACAAGTCTAAGCAAAGTATACAAGATAAAAATAAGAAAAGAACCAAGTTTAAAAATTTTTTACAAATGACAATCTAATATCTATGGCTATTTATTTGAGAGGCAATGAGACAAAGACAGAGAAATAAACAGAACTCCTATCTGGTGATTCACTTGTCAAATGGTCACAATGGCTGGGGCTAGGAAAAGCTGAATTAGGAGAAGAGAGGAACTCAACCCAGGTCTACCATGGAGGTGGTAGGGAACCAAATCACTTGAGCCATCACCAATGTCTCCCAGGGTCTGCATTAGCAAGAAACAGGAGGGGAGGGGAGGGGAGGGGAGGGGAGGGGAGGGGAGGGGAGGGGAAAGGTGAGGAGGGGAGGGGAAAGGTGAGGAGGGGAGAGGAGGGGAGAGGTGGGGAGGGGAGAGGTAGGGAGGGGAGGGGAGGGAAGGGAAAAAAGAAAAGTCCTTGGGTCCATGCACCCACTTGGGCTATTGGGGCCATTTGGGGAGTGAACCAGAGGATGAAAGACTATCTGACTCTCACTCTCCTCTCTCTGCCTCTTCCTCTCTGTAACTCTTTCGAATAAATATTTAGAGAAAGAAAAGGAACGAAACAAAGAAAAGAAATACAATATCAGGTTTGTCAGGGTCCCACGGCCCCTGTTCCAAGGTTCCTCCCTACAAACTGAATCTTTGGCTCCATCAGGCAGAAAGCTAGATATGAGCCCTCCAGAAGAAGGATCAAGGACCCTGCTTCTCCACCTGAGCCCACCAATACCACCCACTTGGCAGCATTACTTGAGGTTGATGCATCCTGACAAGATGGGAACTCAGCCAAACAGAAGTCCACTTTATGGCACATGCACACTAAGACCCAGGTTAATATCAGAGTGAGCTTACTTCACCTTTCTCTCTGTCTCTTTTCTAACTCTGTGAAAGAGATGAGATGAGATGAGATGAGATGAGATGAGATGAGATGAGATGAGATGAGAAGAGAAGAGAAGAGAAGAGAAGAGAAGAGAAGAGAAGAGAAGAGAAGAGAAGAGAAGAGAACCCAATGAGACAGAATATTAAAAAGGAATCAAGAGGCCGGCGCCGCGGCTCACTAGGCTGATCCTCTGCCTTGCGGTGCCGGCACACCGGGTTCTAGACCCGGTTGGGGGTGCCCGGATTCTGTTCCTGGTTTGCCCCTTCTTTCCAGGCCCAGCTCTTCTGCTGTGGCCCAGGGGAGTTGCAGTGGAGGATGGACCCAAGTTACTTGGGGTCCCTGCCCCCCATGGGAGACCAGGAGAAGCACCTGGCTCCTGCCATCTGATCAGCGCAGTGCGCCAGCCGCAGCGCGCTGGCCGCGGCAGCCACTGGAGGGTGAACCAATGGCAAAGGAAGACCTTTCTCTCTGTCTCTCTCTCCCACTGTCCACTCTGCCTGTCAAAAAAAAAAAAAAAAAAAAAGGAATCAAGAAAGTCTACATGAAATATGGGACACTATTAAACAACCAAATATTCACGTTATAGGTACTCCTGATGGAGGAAAGAAAAAAAGAAATTGAGAACTTGCTAAAAGAAACAATTGTTGAAAATTTCCCAGATCTTCAAAGAGATATGGATATCCAGATACAAGAAGCTAAAAGGGGCCGGCACTGTGGCACAGCAGGTTAATGCCCTGGCCCGAAGTGCAGGCAATCCCATATGGACGCTGCTTCGAGACCTAACTGCTCCACTTCCCATCCAGCTCTCTGCTATGGCCTGGGAAAGCAGTGGTAGATGGCCCAAGTCCTGGCGCCCCTGTAACCAAACGGGAGATCCAGAAGAAGCTCCTGGCTCCTGGCTTCAGATCGGCACAGCTCCAGTCGTTGCAGCCAATTGGGGAGTGAACCATCCGATGGAATAACTCTCTCTCTCTCTCTCGCTCTCGCTCTCTGCCTCTCCTCTGTGTAACACTGACTTTCAAATAAATAAATAAATAAATAAAGAAGCTAAAAGACTCAACTAAAAAATTAAAGAGAGAATCCTAAAGACAGTAAGACAAGGGCATCAAGTTACATATAAAGAAAAACCAATTAGATTAACATCAGACGGGGCTAGAGCTGTGGCACAGTGGGTTAAAGCCCTGCCCTGAAGTGCCTGCATGGTTGAATGAGAAGGCCATCCCAAGATGGCCGCTGACAACAGAACCTGCCTGGCAACAGGCTGTGATTGGATGGCTTCAGAAACCACATGACAATGGAGCCTGACTGGCAACAAGCTGTGATTGGATGGCTTCGGAAACCACATGACAACAGAGCCCGCCTGGCAACAGGCTGTGATTGGATGGCTTCAGAAACCACATGGCAATGGAGCCTGCCTGACATCAAGCTGTGATTGGATGGCTTCAGAAACTGCCTGGCAACAGGCTGTGATTGGTTAGGGCATAGATCACCCCTTGACCAGGTTGGCTGCCTTGGCTATTTAAGCTGCTATACCAACTGAAATAAACGAGTCTGCAGGCTGCTCGCCTCTGGCCTGTGTTCTCCTGGCTCTCGGGGTCTGTGTGGTGACTCCGTGCCTCTTGCCCCCACCATGCTCTTCCTCTCAGAACGAATCCACAACAACATGCCAGCATCCCCTATGGGCACCGGTTCGAGACTCGGCTGCTCCTCTTCCCATCCAGCTCTCTGCTATGTCCTAGGAAAGCAGTGGAAGATGGCCCAAGTCCTTGGGTCCCTGCACCCGAGTGGGAGACCTGGAGGAGACTCCTGGCTCCAGGCTTCAGATTGGTGCAGCTCCGGCCATTGTGGCCAATTGGGGAGTGAACCAGCAGACAAAAGACCTCTCTCTCTGTCTCTACCTCTCTCTGTAACTCTTTCAAATAAATAATAAATCTTTAAAAAAAAAAAAAAAATCAGACTTCTCAGCAGAAACCCTACAGGCCAGAAGAGTGGGATCACATATTCAGGGTCTTAAAAGAAAAAATAAGTTTCAGCCAAGAATATTATATCCAGTGAAGCTATCCTTTAAAAGTGAAGGAGAAATAAAGTATTTTCCAGGTAAGCAACTGAGAGAATTTACCACCAACAGATCAGCCTTACAAGAAATTCTGAAGGGTGTCCTGCATTAGAAATAAACATTAGAAAATACATGACATCACCAAATTGATTAACAGAGCAAGTAGAATCAGTGTCCAATCAACAAAATGACAGATCTTAGTTCTTATCTATCCATACTAACCTTGAATGTAAATGGATTAAATACACCAGCCAAAAGACTTAGGTTGGCTAAATGGATAAAAAGCCAAGACCCCACTACATGCTGCTTACAAGAAACTCACTGCACAAACAAAGCCACAGACTGAAAGTGAAAGGTTGGAAAAAGATAGACCAGGCAAATTGAAACCAAAAGTGAGCAGGTGTAGCTATCCTGATATCAGATAAAACAGATTTAAATGAAACACTGTAGGAAGAGATAATGAAGGACATTGTATTTTGATAAAAGGTTCAATTCAGCAAGAAGATATATCATAAATATGTATGTACCCAGCACTCACAAATATTATTAGATCTACAGAGAGAGACTCCAATGCAATACTAGTAGCAGGCTTCAACACCACACTCTCATCAATTGACAAATCATCAGACCAAAACAATCAATAAAGATACATTGGAATTGAAACATATTACCAGGAGCTGGCGCTGTGGCACAGCGGGTTAACGCCCTGGCCTGAAGCACCGGCATCCCATACGGGCGCCGGTTCTAGTGCTGGCTGCTCCTCTTCTGATCCAGCTCTCTGCTATGGCCTGGGATAGCAGTAGAGGATGGCCCAAGTGCTTGGGCCCCTGCACCCATAGGGAAGACACGGAAGAAGCTCCTGGCTCCTGGCTTCGGATTGGCGCAGCTCCAACAGTTGCAGCCATCTGGGAAGTGAACCAGTGGATGGAAGACCTCTTTCTCTGTCTCCACCTCTCTCTGTAACTCTTTCAAATAAATAAAAGAAATCTTAAAAAAAAAAAAGAGGCCGGCGCCGCGGCTCAATAGGCTAATCCTCCGCCTAGTGGTGCCGGCACCCCAGGTTCTAGTCCTGGTTGGGGCACTGGATTCTGTCCCGGTTGCCCCTCTTCCAGGCCAGCTCTCTGCTGCGGCCCGGGGGTGCAGTGGAGGATGGCCCAAGTGCTTGGGCCCTGCACCCCATGGGGGACCAGGAGAAGCACCTGGCTCCTGACTTTGGATCAGGACGGTGCGCCGGCCACGGCGGCCATTGGAGGGTGAACCAACGGCAAAGGAAGACCTTTCTCTCTGTCTTTCTCTCTCTCACTGTCCACTCTGCCTGTCAAAAAAAAAAAAAAAAAAAAGAAAGAAACATATTACCAAGGACATGGACCTAACAGACATTTACAGCATGTTTCACCCAACAGCTACAGAATACGCATGCTTCTCATGAGCACATGGAACATCCTGTAGGATAGACCACATAATAGGCCACAGATCAAGTCTCAGAAAATTTGAGATTGAGGCGGGCACCGCGACTCACTAGGCTAATCCTCCACCTTGCAGCGCCGGCACACCGGGTTCTAGTCCCGGTTGGGGCGCCGGATTCTGTCCCGGTTGCCCCTCTTCCAGGCCAGCTCTCTGCTGTGGCCCGGGAGTGCAGTGGAGGATGGCCCAAGTGCTTGGGCCCTGCACCCCATGGGAGACCAGGAGAAGCACCTGGCTCCTGCCATTGGATCAGCGCGGTGCGCCGGCTGCAGCGCACCGGCCGCGGCGGCCATTGGAGGGTGAACCAACGGCAAAGGAAGACCTTTCTCTCTGTCTTTCTCTCTCTCACTGTCCACTCTGCCTGTCAAAAAAATAAAAAATAAAAAATAAAAGAAAATTTAAGATTGAAAGCATACCATGTATCTTCTCAGGCCATAAGGAATAAAACTAGAAATCAACAAGAATATAATACTCATAAATACTTGGAATTTAAACATGCTATTGAAGGATCAATGGGTCACTGAAGAAATTAAAAAGGAAATCAACTTTCTTGAAATGAATGAAAATGAGACCACATATCAAAACCTGTGGGATACAGTAAAATCAGTATTAAGAGGAAAGTTCATAGCCTTAAGTGCTTACATTAAAAAGGAGAAATGGCTCAAGTTAAAGATCTAATGATGCATCTTGAAGACTTAGAAAAACAGGAATAAACCAAACCCCAAATCAGGAGGCAAGAAATAATAAGGATCAGAGCAGAAATAAATTAAATGGAAACTCACCCCCCTCAAAAAAAAAAAAAACACAAAAGATTAACAAAACAAAAAGTTGGGCTTTCGAGAATATTAACAAAATAGATAAACCTCTAGCCAGACTAACA